CACAAAGATAAGTTTATTTTCACTCTACATTGTAAAGTATGAAAATAAAGTTTACACAACCATCCTGCGGGCCGGATCCGGCCCGCGGGCCGCAAGTTTGACACCCCTTATTCTATGTACTTATATATGTATTCAGACACAGACCAGAAGTGTGCTAGGTCTACAAGAAATCTGATGGCTGTATTTTCTGTGTTCAATAGCGTAATACTTTCTTCTATGATTTCTAATTTTGATTTTCTGCCGCACACCATCTCCCTCTCACACGGCTGATCCGTGCGTGTACGAGCGCTGCACGCACCCTTTCTCCTCGCCTTCTTAACGTCATGTACATTGAAAGCAATGCAAGCGGCAGTAAATGCATGCTTCCTGGAGTCACCACAGCTAAACTTTACCTCCTACATCACCCGTGGCCGTGACCGCATGAACTATTCGCGCCGACAGGCATACTGCGAACAACCACTCGTGTATAAATGCGCGCGCCCGAAGCAACGTAGTCTTTAGAGAACCGCGGCCCAGCTTGCCGCCATAATATGCTAATGCTAATGAATAACTAACAGTAAGCCAACACCGACACACTGCATGAATACACAACTTTAAGCTAGCGTTACGATATTAAAACAAGAGAGTACCGCCGGCAAACTACTAACTTAACCTACATGTCCAAGCACAAACTACCAACAGGTCTGACATTTCGCTAATGTTAGCAGGGCTGAATGATAGCAGTTTGGTCAGGTCAGTTTACTAAACACTTAACAAACTTAACAATACAGTTGGAATATTTTTATATCTAATATATTAAAATATGTGTTCTACAGTTGACTTACCTTCAAGGACCATGGAAAAAGTAATATCTTCGTTACCTTATTGACCAAATTGTTCATGAGGTCCTGCCTGCAGCCAAGTTGCTCTCAAATTGGTGTTCTCAACCGGCCGCAGGGAGAAAATTCTGGAGAAGGCGGAGACGTCATGACATCAGACGCACTGCGTCACGAGAAACCTAATTGATGCAGGTTGACTCTAATGAGAATAGCAGGTTACATGTGTACTGAGGGAACAACACGTAATAACAAGTTGATATACTCCACAAATGTAGACTGGCTCCACTAAAGCAGAAATCTTAATGAAACTCACTCAGAACTTTACGTAACTTCAAATACTGCTGAAATACACTCTTTAGAGTGTACAGGGTACCAGTCTGGAAAAGGATTTTCTGCTTCTTCTCCTGCATAATTCTGGTCTCCCTCTGTATTAATTGCAAACTGGCCTCGTCCTGGTTCTGGAACCGGTCTAACTGGGCCTATGTTAGGAGGTGCCTGAGGGTCATAATATTTCATCTGTACTGGACGGCTTTTCTTATTTAGTCCTCTAATGCCATAAACCATAGGATTTGTCTCATCTCCTTTTTCTGCTCTCTGGGGTTGCTGCTCTACATTTTCTCTGTTCTCACCTTGCTCATGGGCTGTAACTGGGGATAACCAACTCACTTTTTCAGGTGTTTTGCCTCCAGGGATCCGAGTGCTGCATTTTTGATGGGATTCGCATTCTGACCTGAGCGTCCCTTTGGGTGTGCCACGCACCACCAGTTGGGAACCCTGTTCTTCCTCCGATTCAGCCTCACTCTCGCTGCTTCTGTCTCTGGCCTCAAACCAATGTTTGACTTTCTTCTCTACTCGCGGCAAGGCTGACTTATCCACTAAAATTACGACCGGGATGTCTCCTAGCCTGCTAGAGGCTTCGGAATAAATCACCAAACCTGCACCATATGCTTCAGTTATCCGACACACCTGGGGTTTGTTATTAAGCTTAAACACTAGCCGTCGCGCTCCTAAATCCAAGGCTTCTGACACCACCCGCTCCCAAGCTTGGTGAAAAGAGATGTCGGGATTATGAGGGTCTACGTTAATTATGGAAATCGCGCTGACACGACCTTCCAGATTCCCTAATTGCTTGTCTAAGAGAGTAGTAATTTCTCCAGCTTCGTAATTACGATCTACCAGCGGAATCATAGAATTTCTGCCTTCTGCCCCTAAAAGTCTCCTCAGAGAACCTAAAGAGGACGTAGTACTGGCAGAACTTTGTGGATCTTTCAGAAAGATCAACACATCTTCTTCTCGGATCTCCGCATCTATTTTCTCGCCTGATAAAATTATCACCGGTTCTTGACCTATCATAACATGATTCGGAGGAGCCGCGGGACTATGCGGTTCTAACGGGGGAAAATGAATTGGGTTTGGAGTCCTTTCAGCCCCTGACCGTCTCTGAGTCTCGTCTTTGTCCCACGCAGCAACATGCTGTTCAGTGGGCGGTCTCTCCGCTCCTCTCATGGGCACCTGAGAAGGGGTTTGTACATGTAGAAACGGGTTCCACTGCGCCGGCCGAACCGCGTCAGGCGGGTTCGGTGGGGGTGGAGGAAATCCGCTCTCGGAACCGGGGCTCACAGGGAATTCCCCGCGGAGCGCTGGATACAAAGGGGGCGCGGTCGGAACCGATTGGACTTCATCCCAGGAGGCCGACATTTCAACTGCAGCTCGTCTCCGGTACATTTCCGCTTGGAGCTCCGTGATCCCCAGTCGGTTACATAACGCCTGTCTCATTTGAATTGCCTCATTTTTGCTTCTAGATAAGAAGTAAATTGTTCTACTATTAGCCTGTTGAACCACGAACTCCGCCATAGCAGAGTACATCGCTCCCTGATCACATCGGTACTGCCCGACTCCAAATGGAGTGAGAACTAAGGGTTCCGGTCCAGTTGGTATTTGCTCAAGCAATCCCAGAAGGATCTCATACTGCTCGCCCGTGGGGAGTTTCGCTGGATTTTCCCAACAACACCACGCTATCTGATTAAAAACAGGATCATTTTGTTGTTCTGCTAGAATCACCAAATCACCCACTAACGGAAATACATGATTATTCTTTACTTGAGTTTCAGCATTCGGACAGCGCTCCGCTGCGGCTTGAGCCGTTCCGGCCTTGTTATGAAAACTCCGGTTACAGGATACTGCTAAAACGCTTTGTGGTTCACCTTGAAATGTCGCTATTTCTCCGGTGACAAATCTCACATTAAGGAGAACATTTTCCGGTTTTACCGTTAAAGATCTATCTGCCATGGCTGGTTGAAAGTTTCTCTTTTTTATTATTTGTTTTATTTTTATTCGTTTTCACGTCTTGTTCTTTATTTTTACTCTTTATTCCTTTTTATTTTTTGCCTAGCTTTTATCCTTGGCTTTTCTTACGTCGGAAAGCCGTGATTTCTTTATACCTCTTTGAGTTAATCGTCCGTTCTCCCAAATTTCCTTCCTTTTCGAGAAATTGGTGCGGTTTTCACTCCAAGGTTACAAGCTTATCAGGTCCATAGTGCGTAAGCTTTTATCAGCCTAAAAGACATAGTTCTACGTCGAATAGTCCGGTATCTAATATTTAAACCTTCGCCGATTAGCCCCACGTTGCAGGCGCCATGTCGTGTGCCCGTCCCATTTACCGGTTCCTTTAAAACCCAGTTCCGTTAGAACTTATGAGACGGTGCATCCATCAGGGTTCGGGGGTGTATCGACGAGTATAATCGTACCAGACCCGGGTTTGGACTACCTAATTAGAATCTTGTCTTTTATTTTAAAGGTGAAATGACTTGCACGAATAGCCAGCCTCAGAGTGCTACACTTCTTTTAAACTCGTTACCTTTTGGTTAAGATACTAGAGAGAAGTCTGGAGGCAAGCCAAGCCTCTCAGCAATTGTTTGGGCTACCCGGAATTAATTGCGCCCCTAACAGCTTATGTGGGAGGTTGGTAACTATAAAATGATTTATGCTAGTTGATCAGGCTAACATAAGTTTATCAATTTATTTATTAATCCAACCTTCCAGCTGATTAGAGACTTTTTCAACCTGCAATCAGAGCCAAAATAACCTCGAATATTTTGCTTTTATCACCCTTAAGACAACTCGTTACTCGCAAGGGGAGAGAAATTAAAACTTCCCTTATCTTAAGGTTTCTTTATATTATTCTGTTATAAACTGTAAAGTAAGTCCTGATAATTCAGAGACCGATCTTCGACATGCTTACCTCTGTGCAATTATGGCCAGGGCTCCAAACGTGAAGCTTTAGAGAAAACCTGAAAGAATCAGGATTATGTTTCTTTTTCAAAAAAGGTTTATTGCAAAATCAAAATACAAAAATGGGTAAAGTGAAAAACAACTACTATCCCCCACGGAGGAATTAGTTCAAAATGAATAAATAAGAGTCAAATTACACCAGCTCTTGTCTTCTCAGAATCTCCCCAAGAACTGAAGAACAAGACCCCTGCTCGATCTGAGCTGCATCCTTTTATATCATTTCTGAGACTGCTCTAAACAATGCAAGAGGCACAAGTCATTCTCTCCTGACAGTTTAGGTCAAGGGGTCATTCACCAGATACACTTTTTTAGCTCTACATAAGACATTTAGTATCATTTCACTACATGCAGTATTCACATGAGGGCACAAAAGTTACATTCTGCACTCCTGGAATGAGAGCACAGGTCATAAATCTTCATATTGGTAGCAAATTGTAGATCTTCCTCCAGCATTCCTGAGAGCTCCTGGGTCCAGCTGGACTTCTCCTCACTCCATGCCATTCCTTCTTTTCCCGCCAGAGGTGGAGTTAGGGGCGGGCCCAGGGGTGTGTCCATGGGTGGATCTAGAGAAGACAGCTTGTCTTTTGACCCTTTGCCTAGTTCTGTCCTCACCAGCAAGTCCTGAACTCCTGTCCTCTTGACCCTTGTGTGACCCTTGTCTCTGACCACTGTTTCTAAGCCTTGACTGGTTGCTCGGGCTTGCAACACTTTCACAGGTATGGGAATATTTAGAATGCACTTGTACAAATGAGGAACGTGTGAGGAGGGATCTCGGTATAAAGAGCAGAAACAACATTTTAGAATGAAAAGAAAATGTTGCTAAAAGAAAAGAAATCTACATTTTTATAGATCTGCTGTTCCTTCTAAATAAATGTATTTTCCTGCCATCAGACTTGGAAACATCTGGCTTCCAAGGTATTGGACATCCTGGAGGGGCTGCGAGTCGTTCAGGTGTGGAGGAGAGGCTGGTCTGGGTGATCCCACCAACCCTGAACCAGAGCTTCTTGTTTACAAATGAAGCAACATTTAACTTTGAATTCAAAACAAACAAGTCTAGAAAAACCAAAGGCAAGTTAGCAATCAAACCATACTAACCTTTACAACAAGGGTTCAAATGCAAACACAGAACATAACAGGATACTAATGGGTCCCCTGCTGCCACAGAACCAGTCTGAGGATGGACATTCTCCTCTGATCTCTTTTGATGTGGGTCTAACAGATGAGATCTGTGAATGTTAGACATATTCTGATGCCCAGAGCGTGCTGATCTTAGAACTAAGATACTTTAGTTATTGTGTGAGGACCCCAGCTCATCTCACCAAAGTGATGTCATCAAACCAAGGAGAAGGAAAATGTTTAGTGAGCTTCATCCTTGGACCAGGATGAAAGACGGAGCATTAAACATGGAGAACAACCACCTGCACTACAGGCTAATAAATCTATGTGGCACACTGGCGAAACTCACATCATTGGTTATTATTTACCGTGTGGTGCAGGCCTAAGGCAGAGCACCAGGAAGTAACTTCATAGCCCCGTTCAGGGACCCGTGAGCCGACCGGAAGGGGAGGAGCCTAAGGCTCGGTATAATACAGATGGGAACAAACAAATGCAGTTTCAGGATGTGGACTTTTACAGAAAATCCTTAAAGATTGTATCTGATCTTCACCGGCCCTGGTGAAGTTTTCCTCCTTACCGTTTGCTGCAGGAAGAGTGACGACGTGTGTCTGGAGGGGCAGCCAAGAAGGAGGAGGCCCATCCTGGCCGTGCACATCCAGCAGCTGGAGATCGGTGCTTTCACCCTCACTATGGTGTGTGTGTGTGTGTGTGTGTGTGTGTGTGTGTGTGTGTGTGTGTGTGTGTGTGTGTGTGTGTGTGTGTGTGTGTGTGTGTGTGTGTGTTTATCTTGAGCCTTTAGGATGAGCTCGCTCTGAATCCATTCATGACAAAGTCGTCCCAACTCACTAAGAGGACATATTTTCCTGTGTCCTTCCTCTTTCCAATATGGTTGACCAGATGCTGAGGTCACAACGAGTGGGGCTTGGACGGTAAGGGCACAGCTGTTGAATTTGGGTAGTTTGTGGGGGGGCAGTGTTGCTGCAGAAGGCACCTGTGGGAGGGGGTTTGATGTTTATGGCCAGCTGCTCGGAGGTGACTGCACGGGTGTAGCTAGATGATGAGGTCAGGAGACGGAGCAGAAAAGCAGAAGCACAGCTGGTTACCACGGAGATTGGGCTATCCCAGCATCCTCCACAGGAGGTCAGAAACTGGTGCTGGTGATTCTGTTAAGGAGAAAGACTTATCGTCATCGTTTCTTTACATTTTGTTCTCATTTCATGTTCCTGCCATTTCCCATTGGAAATTTTGAGTCAGGTCCGTGCCTTCCAGGAGGTTCAGTACCCATGCAGCCCACACCATGACCTTCAGGCCTACCTGTGTCTTCGCAACGCCCAGCTCGCCAACGCGAACATCCACCTATTGGAAGGTTGTATTGTTATCTGTTATGTGCCTCTTGTCGATTAATGAGCTGATGTCTGTTCGTGTGTATATTTGATGTATGTGTGTTTGTGTGATTATGTATTTGTGACAAAAACAAAAAAAGCTTGTTAAAAAAAATTCCACAAAAGGAAAGAGAGGAGGAGCTGAGGGTGAGGCTGTAAGGCTGCGATCAACTGACGACAACGGGTCGAACTAGCTACAAGCTAACCTGAAGCTAACCATGGCTAACCCAAAGCTAACGCGGAGGTGGGAGCTAAGCTAACGGATGTAGCTATCTAGCTACAACCTGAGCTAACTCTGTGGAACACCAGCGACCTGAAGCTCACATGAAGTTTAAGTGGAGGTTTGTGCTGCTTTTTCATGAAAAGTACCTTTCTGTGAATAAAAACGTATTAAATCGGTAAGTTTATAAGTTATTTCCGTAATGAAAATATATTTTGCTTTGAGCAAGTTTTCAATATTTTTAACGTACCGTATTTTCTGGACTATAAGTCACTCCGGAGTCGCCCCAGCCATAAAATGTATAATGAAGAAGAAAAAACATGTATAAGTCGCATTTTGGGGGGACATTTTGTTATTTTTCTACAAAATCTGAGACCAAGCATTTCACATTGCAAGACAAGTACCAGTAACAATAAGAATAATGCACCACAGCAGCGCGCCACGGTCTCCAGCAGAGGATGGCGGTGTTTGAAACCCTCCCAGCGGGACAGGGGAGCTCATTCCTGGGTCGGAGTCGGCCCGCAGCAGCGCGGTGTAGCCTACATAATTTGTTATATAAGTCGCTCCAGAGTATAAGTAGCAGGACCGGCCAGACTATGAAAAAAGTGCGATTTATAGACCGGAAAATACGGTCGTTATTAGTATTTGAGATAAATTAGCAGGCTAAATACATTTCATATATTTCCAAAACTTAATACTTGTTTGTATGTTGTACAGCCAAGTAGCCTTCATTCTGGACTCAGAATAAAATTCACCAAATCATAATCATACATTTCTACTGATCCAATCAGAATCTGACAGAGCTGTGGTTTTGGATCAGTGAAAGTAATGTGTCATGTCTACATGAAATCAGTCCTGTTGGAACATTTAAAGTCATAGTACCTTTATATTCTATAGGATTATGATAAAGTAATTAATATTTTGATTTCACAGATTGGTCACATCTTATTTATTGACTAACACTTGGTTGGATTAGCTTTATTAAAATAGAGTTCTTTGATTAATTAAAAGGTGAGAGTCCAATCTTCATTCTTCTGTTGAGCTGAAAATAAGCAGGTTAGAAGCAAATGCATGAGACCTTGAGACCTTCTCATGCAGACTAGTCCTGTGTCAGAGGAGGGGGAAAACAGTCATTTCATTTTTGTTGGCAAAAGGAGATCTGAGCCACTCAGGAGGTACAAAAATAAAAAGCCTTTATTAGTACATGGCTTAAATTGTTAAAAACATCAATGCCAACGCGTTTCAGCCCACAGGGCCTTCATCAGGGCTCAAAATGGTTGTATACTCACTCACCCCCATGTTAAAAAGGCCAATCAATGACACCTGCCAAAGCTGGGCAGGTAGACTGCATTCTGATTGGATGGCCAGTACAACACAAAAACTTTTTACATCTAAACAATCCTATTGTAAGGATGAATACTTACAAATATGAAATTTAACTTCTAGAATTTGAGAAAAAATTATAAATATGGTACACAAATTGTAAGAAAACATGAGATTATAAATAAGGAGCTAAATCTAATTCTCCATTAAGACCTGGGAAATTAGTAGCTTTTAGTGTGTAAATCCAAAAAGATTCTCTTTGCAAGAGTTTTTTAAGCCTATCTCCTCCTCTAATTGAATTTTTTATATGTTCAATCCCTGTGATTTTAAGAGAGTTACAGCTTCCATGATTTGTGTCTTTATAATGCACTGCCATAGGATATAGATGATTACCAGATCTGATTGCTTGTTTGTGCTCTGCAAGTCTTGCTTTTAACTTGCGTTTAGTTCTTCCAATATAGAAGCAACCACACGGGCATTCTAGTCTGTAGACCACGAACGAAGTATTACAGTTGATGAATGTATGGTGGTCTCCATGGTGGAGGAGGAGATGCAGGAGGAGGTAAATCACAAAGAAATCTGAATCTTTGTGTTGCTTATGGAAACTTTTGTGCTTGCACCAAATGTGTTTGTGGGTAACTGGAGCCGACGCACAACGCTGAGGCGCAAAAAGACAAAACTTCAACAGGAAACGGAGAAAAGTCTCCTGCTGAACAATAAAAGTCGTATTTTCTAATCATTTTAATGTGAAAATCAAAGATAAAGAGCAGAGAACAGTCTGTTGAACTGATCAGCTGTTTCACCAAACTGGTAAATAAACCTCCTTACAAAATCAGAAAATCCAAACAAATCATGAGTGAAGATCCGATGTTTTATCTTTTTTTTGTTTGTTTGTTTGCTGCAGAGAAACGTCTTGATGTTTTGGATCAGAGGTTTGGTTTTTCTGAAGAAGATTCTTGATTTGGGCTGTTTCACACACACACACGCATACACGCACACACAAGCGCGCACACACACACAGACTCGCTGGCGCCGGCTCCTCCGGATGCGTGAAGACTTCAATCAGAAACGTTTATCCTCCAATCATCGGCATCGATCGGCCCCGGAGCGCTCTGCATATGTAAGTTGGGCAAGCCGTGGAGGTATGATGTCTGCGGATCAGCAGCATGGTGACCTTTGGTGGATTTACGTCTAACAAGCAGCTCTGAGAACATGGAGAGGTTCTTTTCAGTGGACTGGCTGGCTCAGAGCCACTGCAGGAGGCCTCACGTGCCCTGCATGGTGCCGCCGAGCGCGCCCGCCTTCGGGAGAGGTTACCTGCAGCCGAAACCCAAACTGCAGACGTGGAGACCCTGCGCTTCACCGGGTGGGTAGGAGGCTCTTTAGCTGTGGTTTGGAGATTTTGTTTAAAACGTGTTTTTATTTATTTTCAGTCTCAGAGGTGAGTGGGGACTCCGGCCGGGTATGAGAGCGAAGCAATGTGCTCAGGGGAGGCGGAGCAGCGCACGCTCCAGCGCCGCGTGCGCACCAGGTTCAGTCTGGATCAGATCCGCAGGCTGGAGAAGATCTTCAGAAAACACAAATACCTGGGCGCAGTGGAGAGGGTGAAGACCGCCCCGAGGCTGAAGCTCACGGACACCCAGATGAGATGAGCAGAACACATGCGCGCACACACACACGCACGCTGATGTAACGGTCCCTCTGCTTCCTCTGCAGGTGAGGACCTGGTTCCAGAACAGGAGGATGAAGCTGAAGCGGGAGGTGCAGGGCTGCCTCGGGCCACAGATCCCGTTGGTTATGTTCCAGCCACTCCTCCCAGTCCGGTATCACACCGGAACCGGGCCACAGGGCCTCTGCTCGCTCCCTGTCCCGCAGCTCCTGCATCAGCACTACCCCCCTACCCTCCTCCTGCAGCATCCCGTTTATACAGCTCTGTGAAGCTGACCCCCATCAGCTTCAAAAGTGCTGGCAAATCAGCTCCGTTGTGCTGATTCGTGCAGGTAAAATTGACGTTTGTGCTGCAATGGTTTCCGAGATATTACAAGTTTCCAAAATCAAAAATGACAATAATTTTAGTGGACATGTATTACATATATTATAATTAGTACAAACTCACAAATCCAATCTTTTTTGCAGCTATACATTTAATTTTGTTGTGCCTGAGGAATAGAGACTCTTAAATTGTAAAGTTGAGTTAAACATGGCTTTGGTAATGAGATCAACACAATAAATATGGCAAATTTATTGAAAGAAAAATATAACCTTCAAGTTGGTGAAGTTGACTGAGTTTGAAAAGCAAATATACTTTAGACCAGAGTTTTTCAACCCTGGTCCTCAAAGCACACTGTCCAGGGAGTTTTCAGGGTTTCACTGCTTCAGCACAGCTGATTTCTATTGATGGTTGATTAACAAGCTTTTGCTGAACTGCAGTGAGCTGAATGGGGCGTGTTAAGGCAGGGAGAATACAAAAACATGCAGGGCAGTGTGTCTTGAGGACCAGGGTTGAAGAACACCGCTTTAGACTGACAAAGAAAAGAGCACAAAATTGACTTGATTTGATAATGTCATCATGCAAAAATAAAACTCGTAATATCTCAGAAACCGTTGCTGCACAAACATCAGTTTTACCTGCAAAAATCAGCACAAACGAAGCACTAAAAAAGTAGATGGCCCATTTTGGAGTAGTTTGGAGCAGTCTGGGGGGACGGTGACCTCTGAATGACCTATAAAATAAAGTTTAATATCTCAGAAACGTTTGCAGCACAAATGTCAAGTTTACCTGCAAACATCAGCACAAACTGAGCAGCCTATTTGCACTTTTGAAGCTGACGGGGGTTCAGCTTCACAGAGCTCGTTTCTACTGACCCCCGCCGCACGCACGCACCCACGTGGGTTTTGTTGTATTCGATGTACATTTGTATCATTCCAGAAATAAAGTATTTATTGTTGATAAAAGTCTGAAGTCTTTTTTGTCAACACCCCGATTACGTCATCGCAACTGCTGCTCTAGTTTCACCTGAAAGTCTGGACCCAGAGGCTCGGTTCTGTTTAGAGTCCAGCCCAGTGTTACTCAGCTAACAGCTGTCATGGAGAGAAATGAGGCCTCCTGCTGCTCCTGCCCCTCCTGCGGGGGAATCGTTCCACTTCCTACTGTGGGTGAATTTGCATCAACAAAGGAACATCAAAGCGACTCTGACGGTGACATCACGATCCATTGGCTCTCTGTGGGACCGCTGAAGACTTCACACCTTCCTGGAAGATGTGGCACAGCGGCGCCCTCTGGTCTGCAGAGGTGGGGGTCTTGCTAAGCTCCAGCTGTTCCTGTTTCAGGAGCTTTTCTGTGATCAGAACCCAGTTCCAGTCCTGCAGTCGTGGACAGGTCTTGTTCTTGGTTGCTCCACAGCCAGAAGTGTGAATTTGTGAGGAGTCAGCTCTAATCTGGACATTTCTGGAGGAGCAACAATAAACCCAATAAATCATAACATGAGACTAATGCTGTTGCATGGTGGCACAGTATCACTGTATAAGGTCGAAGGTTGCTGGTTCAAATCCTGCTGCTGCCTTTCTGTGCAGCTGGCATGCTCTCGTCATGCATGAGTGTTTTTGTTTAGCAAAGCCAGAAATATTGAAGCTCTTCAGCCACGAGACATGGTTTCGGACCAGTTCATTCATCTTAATTTATTTACCTTTTCCATCAATCTTCAGCATTTTAACCATCATCCACCTGCTAGGACGCGTGTTAATACTGACCAATCAGACGTTCACTTGGGTTAAACCAAACCACCCCTAACCCTCCAGATTAAAACGCTTTGAAGAAAAAGTTGGAAATGATCACCTGACATTAATATACTTTAAATTATCATCCGCTTACATTAAATTCTTGATGATTTAAACAAAATTTCACTCTTAGCTAAAGTCAAAATACGAGGAAACTGAAGACCAAAAAAACGAAATAGCGTATTTTATCCTCCTGCCTGTGAAGATGTATTTGTTCAAATATATTTTGATGACATTGTGTTATTTTTGCTATTCTGTTACTTTTAAATATCAAAAACTTCTTAACTCCACTAAATACTAAACGTATAAAACTTAAAGTTGTTGAACTTTTCATTCTTTGCTAAACGACAGAGAACAGGAACGTGTTTGAAGAAGTTTTTGGTTTGAAATCATGTAATTTAGTTCAAACTGAGCCAGTAAAGTTTTGGTGTAAAAATGAGTTTTAATGTCTGAGATTTCAAATCTTTTCTCTTTGCTTTCAAATGTTGTGGTCATTTAGTCTGAATGAATACGTAGTTCTGAAATATCAGTTATTAGTCACACCTGTAGGAAGGCTTACCTGATTTTACTGATTTTTATTCATTCAATGAAAAAGTTTATAAATGAACATCAAGGATGAAAACATGACACATCTTTTTATTATTAACTTTTCTGGGGTTAAAGCAGCAATACCCAGGCTATTTCCTCAGCACTGTTGCCCATCAGAGTTGCCCAAAATACTGCCTCGTGTACCACCGCCCAGTGTACCAAAGGCCAGAATACAAACATGTCAACAATACGAGGACATTTACAACATCTTTATTCAGAGAGCAGAAAATAACAGAAACATTCAAAAATGAACAAAAAGAGAAAACAACAGCAATACAAATTTGTGTGTGTGTGTCTCAGGGCTGATGATGGACCTGCTGTCTGCTCTGAAGAAAACCTCTGCAGCCCCATTTTCCCATGCCTTATGCCTCTTTAAAGCCACATCTCAAAGAAGTATATGCATAGGAAAAAGGAACAACGAGTGCAACGAGTCCTTCTGCACACAAGTCTGTCGCCGCCATGTCACCGCCATGCTCCAGCCGTGGTGCTGCACACCGGAACCTGCATCATGAGGATGAAAATAAATTTGTGAAGTCATGAAAAACTGAAAAAATATCTGAAATCCTTTTAAAATCTCTACGTTTTAGTGTTATGAAGCAACAAATAAAACAAAAAGCAAAGCCATGAACGGAATTAGCTCAAGCTGAAGTGTTGAAGTTGATCCCAGCTGCTGGAGCCGGGGAAGAAGTCATACCTCGCCAGCATCCCGATGAGTGTCTCATGGGGAAGCTCCTCTTGTCAGACGTTTATACCAGCACAGGGACCTTGAAGATGTTTAGCAGAGACAGAGTGGCTGTTGTCTGCTCTCTCTCTCTCTGAGCACCTGTGGACAGAACAAACACTGTCTACAGAATCACTCAGAACTGTTCTCAGCCGGTTATTGTCTGAATCACAGAAGTCAGATATCTCCTCCTATCTACAGACGTCAGGAGCACCCAGAAGAGAAACATTCAGGACAACATGTTCCGGCCCACACACACACACACACACACACACACACACACACACACACACACACACACACACACGTAACCCTCAAGGTCTCCAGACAAGGACTCTCTGGGTAAAGGCATACAGTCACACCTGAACAAGCTGCACAAGTGTGTGTGTGTGTGTGTGTGTGTGTGTGTGTGTGTGTGTGTGTGTGTGTGTGTGTGTGTGTGTGTGTGTGTGTGTGTGTGTGTGTGTGTGTGTGTGTGTGTTATGGATGCCATGGCAAGGCTGCTGCAACTGGCTGAGGAAGAAACCTTCTCTACATCAGGGGTATTCAGTTCCTGGTCCTGGAGAGCTGGTATCCAGCAGGTGTTAGCTTCAACACACCTGATATCAATCAGAAGGTGATTAACAGAGCCTGATGAGCTGCTGCACAGGTGACTCAATCCACTAAATCAAGTGTGTTGGAGCAGAGAAACCACTAAAACGTGCTGGATACCGGCCCTCCAGGTCCAGGATTGAATATCCCTGATACCTTATACATGAATGAGAGCACAAGTCAATTATATCAAGGTTTAGTCTTGATGATCTGTGATGAGTCCAGCTGAGGTCACACACACCTGTTCTCACATGTCCCGTAACAATGCTCTAACCAGGCGGTAACTCAGTGTTGATTCAGAGATGGACGTGGTTGAGACAACCTGCTGAAGTTCAAACTGAGCGTCTGGTCTGTTTATTTCAGAATCTGTTGATCTGCTGGGATTTGAACCCACATCCATCTCCAGGGTCAAAGGTCAGACTGCGTCCTACCAAGGTCAGCAGAAGCACACCAGCTGCTCCAGACTTAGTTCATCCCAGAACCTTTGGGCTGTGGAGCAACAGGAGGTTCTCCTGGATGGAGCTGTGGCTTTCACGTCAGCATGGACCAGTAATACAAAATGGCTAGAATAGAATAGAATAGAATAGAATAGAATGCCTTTATTGTCATTGTACAAGCACAACACAATGAAAAAAGCGATGCCATCTCCTATGGTGCGTAAAACTGATAAAAACGATGAAAACAAGAAATAAAAATAAATAAATCAAACACTTGCATCCTCGTTCCATTCATGCATCATTACGCGACACATGGTACCGTATTACACGTGGTATCATAATACGCATGGTATCGTAACACACATAGTACCGTAATACACATGGTATTGAAGTACAAATAGTACCGTAATACATGTGGTATCGTAATACACATGGTATTGAAGTACAAATAGTACCGTAATACATGTGGTATCGTAATACACATGGTATTGTAACACACATTTTACCGTAACACACATGGTACCGTAATACATTGTAATACACATGGTACCGTAATACACATAGTACCGTAATACACATGGTATTGTAATACACATGGTATCGTAATACACATAGTACTTTAATACACATGGTACCGTAATACACATGGTATTGTAATACACATTGTACCATAATACACATGGTATTGTAATACACATAGTATTGTAATACACATAGCACTGCAATGCACATGGTACCATAATACATTGTAATACACATGGTACCGTAATACACATAGTACCGTAATACACATGGTACCGTAATACACGTGGTATCGTAATACACATGGTACCATAATACACGTGGTACCGTAATACACTTGGTACCATAATACATTGTAATACACATGGTACCGTAATACACATAGTACCGTAATACACATGGTACCGTAATACACGTGGTATCGTAATACACATGGTACCATAATACACGTGGTATTGTAGTACACATGGTACCGTAATACACGTGGTATTGTAGTACACATGGTACCGTAATACACATGGTGCCGTAATACACATAGTATCGTAATACGCATAGTACCGTAATACACATGGTATTGTAGTACACATGGTACCGTAATACACATGGTGCCGTAATACACATAGTATCGTAATACGCATAGTACCGTAATACACGTGGTATTGTAGTACACATGGTACCGTAATACACATGGTGCCGTAATACACATAGTATCGTAATACGCATGGTATTGTAATACGCATAGTACCGTAATACACATGGTATTGTAATACACATGGTATTGTAATACACATGGTATTGTAATACACATGGTATCGTAATACACATGGTATTGTAATACACATGGTATTGTAATACACATGGTATCGTAATACACATGGTATCGTAATACACATGGTATTGTAATACACATGGTATTGTAATACACATGGTATCGTAATACACATAGTAATTTCCTGGTCTTTTACTTCCCATTAATTATTTATATTCTCATCGTGTGGTTTCTCAACTCAAACCTGATGGTTGGTTTGTAAAAGCATTTTTCTATATTTAACCTCCTGGGACCCGGACTTGGTTTTGGTTTGATTTAACTCCTTAAATTTCCAGGTTTAATGAACACAGTGGGGTTTTGTCCCACGGGCAGGACGCTGGAATACTAAGGGGTTATTAAAAGAAAAACAAATCTAGCTATTACAGATTAGTTGACTGTAATTAACAGAAGTTACAAACCATTCAATTCAAAAACAATGTTGTCAAATATCCTAAAAAAGAAAGACAAAAAACATTTCTAATTAAAGTCATAAAGTGTTTATGAATAACACCAAACAGGTCTAAGTAGAGGAGAATAAAAGCTTAACCCTCTGGAGGCAGGCAGGTTAAAACCTACCTACCTGGTTACTCCACAAACGTATTTATGAGCATTTTTAACTCAGAAGTTTCCCTGAAGGACTTAGTTGTTCGTCCTTTTATCAGAACTTATGTTGAGCCTGAGAGGGTTAAAGTGCAAGGAGCCAATGTCCACGATGTGGACACAGGCCCTGGGAGGTTACAGAGTTTGAATCTAAATGTTGCAGAATTCCAAAGTGCAAAAACATTCAGGAAGAATTTTCCAGACTTTCTGAAAAATGACAGCATCGAGCCGAGCTCACCCAAGGCCATGGAGATAGCTGCTGCTGCCAACGGACATTCCTAGTGCCCAGACATCTCTATGAGGTCGGGGGGAGCTGAGCCCCATGAGGAGGGTCAGGTCCTGGTTCAATATTACCTGGGTCAAAGGTCACCAGACCTTTGGATCAGGTTTTATCATTGTCAGATCTGCTTTTCTGTTGCTTGGGTTTCAGCATCAGACAAAGCTGATCTGAACGTGTGACCTTTGACCTTAAACAGGCCTTACCTGCTGGAAAAGCCAAGAGTGAGACTTTGGTTCCAGCTGACTCATACGTTCACACATTCATCCTCAGCGTTCTCTGCCTGTCTTTATCGTGGTCTGTCCCCGAAAACGTGTCGTTCAGACTGACCCGAACCCACCAGACTGACCCGAACCCATCCGCTGTTATTTAACGTAATACCTAAAAGATGAAGTCACCGCCCTTTCTAAATAAACCTTGAACAGCTGATTTTAATGAGTCCTTGCGCTTCCTGTGATTTTCTTAGTGATCGTTGTTTGCATCGCTCCAGGATCTGTCGTCCACTTGAACCAGAACTCCCAGTTAGAACTTTGAACTGAACCTTTGCACCGGTTCTTTGCAAGAACCGAGTCAGTGAGGATGAAAACACAAGCCAGAAGGTTGATGGACCACGGATCAACAGCAGAACAACACAAACTGCAGGAGGAGCTTCAGTCAGAAGTGAGACATGCAGCTTTGTGGCTGAAAGGATCACAATGTTCTGCTCCTGCTGGCCTCATCAGCGGCCCGGCGGAGCGGCTCTGGGCCTTGGGCAGACGTTGCAGCAGCTCCTACCTGAGCAGGTGTTCTGCTGCATGTCTGAATCTGAAAGAAAGCTGCACAGTTAAAGCAGTAGGTCAGGAGCTAGAGCAGGTTATCAGACAGTTGCCGGATCGATCCCTGCTGGTCGGTGTGGCCGGTGAACCCTGCAGCTGCTTGAATAAATACGTTTTTATCTTTAATGTCGCTGACTTTCCTGCAGTCTGCTGGTTTGTAGTCCACGGCCGGCTGCAGCTCGGTCAGAACCTTCCTGGTGCTTTCCTCACAGGGAGAAATGTACACAAGTTTGGAATGATGTTTTGATGTTTTCTTGTTTAAAAATGTCTTCCTTCTCCTGATTCTGAATTTACTGGCCGACCTGCTGGTGGTGGCCTGCTGCCTGTCACTGAAGGGTTTAAGAAACAAACATCTGCTGTAAGTCAGGAGCAGATGGAACTGGATGCTTGGAACAGGTAGTTTTCTTCTGTTGTGCAGCTGAAACCCAGCTCCACTTCTCCTCTAATCAAACGTCTTTCATGTCTTCAACAGATGCCTGAGAAGCCAGAGTCCCACCTGTGGTGCTAAACGCCACCACAGGTGGGATCAGATGCAGAGACAGACAGAGACACGCGAGGACCAGAGACATGGCGGTTCTTAGCTTCCGACATCTGCTCTGCTTGGTCTGTCTCCTCCTGTCTGTGAAGGTCTCACCTCAGCTGTCTCTGTGCTCGGCACCCTGAGATGGGAAAGCAAGGTTGTGGCCTTGTGCTGCGGGGGCGGTGACCTCCTATCTCACCCGTCCTCCTCCTCCCTGCTTCTTCTCTCTCCTCTGGTAAAGTGATAAGACTCGTGAAAAACCTTCTTTTGTGGGAAATCAGAGATAAGCGTGGCGCTCAGGCAGCTGCTGGGTCGTCTCCAGGGAACAGGAAGTTCTCAGACTCAGATGACACTGGTACAAGCTGAAGGCTGCAGGTTTCATGCAGTCAGTGTTCATTTTTTATTTGCACGTCAAGTTTTTGAAAAGGACTTTTTCTTTAGAAATGTTGAAATTTCAGACATTTTTAGGACAGACGGGGGTGATGTGTGTCTGAGGCGGCGGGAGAAACTGCCTTGACTCGCCGTCTCCAGGTCTGTGTTTTCAACCACTGCAAAGAAAAAACACCTGTCAT